TGTATTCAAGGAGTGATAATTTATCCTCTAATTCTAAACATGATTTTGCTCCATCAAGATCCAATTCTTTTTATTTCATCAAATGGGGCTGACATTTTGAGAGCCAATCACAAATTTTTTTCGACATTGCGATTAATTATAAGAATTCCAATTTTTCTTTTGCATCTTCCGCACGTGTCCAAATCTTCATCGCATGTGTTATTCGGTATATTTTTACTAAACGAAGAAATAAAGGTGGTGTATCGTGTTGGGCGTTATTAAAACAAGATCACTATTTCAGTTCATAAAATTTTAATTTTTTTTTTTCTAATTTAATATCGACAAGGCCGAAAAATCAAAGTATGTATGTGTCAATAAATTTAGATAAAATACCAATAAAATAGAAATGTAATAACATCTGCACTCTTTTGCACACTCTTTCTTTTAATTATAATGGTAATATTGTCTGGAAAAGTCATTTCCTCAAATGTTGGAAATTGACCCTAAAGTAAAATTATTTGTTTGAAAATTGCTAATGAATTTATTTAAATAGCACAAAATAGAAAATGGAATACCATTCGAACTCGTTTGTATACTTTCGTTTTTATTATACTTTTTATATTGTTTGAAAAAAATTCTCGATAGAAACTTGACTTTGAAGTAAAGTTATTAGAGATGGACTAAATTATTTGTTCGAAAATTTTGATAATGACATTCCACGTAACCGGGCATATGTAGAAATTTTGTCACTAAATGGCTGTCTTTTTTATTAATAGAATATACCAAAAATATTTCTGTTTTGTTTCTATTTTAGTGCTGTTATGTCAATTTTCCTTTATAATTATGGGCCCGCCCACACCTTTAACTTCCCAAATTGAGAGATACTTATTTAAAATAAGGCAACTTATGGAAATACCCTAAAATTAGGGGTTTTTTGAAGGAAAGAATTCACAAATCATGTTTTAAGTTTCACACATTCAAAAATAAGGTATTAAGTTTAAAAAATGCAAAACTCGGGTATTTAGTTAATTAATTAAAAAATATTTATTAATTAGGTCACAATTATACAATTAATGATCACATATACATAATTATAAGTCACAATTTATTTATTGATCACATATTATCAAATTAATTAGTCAATGATGATTTCGAGGTTACAAATTCAAAAAATTATAGGTCACAGTTAATTTTATTGGTCACATATTTTAGAATTTGTTGGTCACATATTATTTTTTAATCACACATTGTTAAATTTTTATGTCACAGTTAAACATTTGGTCACAGATAATCAAATAATTGGTCACATACTACTAACACCACCACTTCAGCCACTTTTGACCACTCTCACCCCGCCGTCGCCATCACCACCATGGCCTCACGACAACCACTACAAACACAATCATCGCAACCACCACCCCTACCACCACACAAAATACTACCACCACCGTTGCACCCAGCCACATAAAACACCACCACCGTCGGCGGATGACTATCAAAACCACCAACAACAGATCCGCCAACACACAGTCACACACCAACAACAGATCGAACAATAACAAAACCCTAATCTTCATGCTCACCGAAAACGTGAATATTTCGAACTAGATCAGTAGATCTAGAGCAAAAATGTAGCAAATAAGAACACTGCAGTTGCAGATCTAGTAATCGATACTCTATTCAAAGCAACGGCGTTGGGTGAGGAGTTAGGAGTGACGCCACTAGGTGCGGAGGCGATAGATGGAGGATTAGCAGCAAGTGCACTGACGGGAGAAGTGGAGCCGCAGGAGGAGAAGACAATGGAGATTCAGAGGGCGATGAAATTGTAGAGAGAGACGAGAGAGATAAGGGGAAGGAGCGAGAAGAGAGGTGAATTAGGGTTTTAATATAGTACTTGATTTTTTAATAAAAAAATTGTAGACCTCATTTTTAAAATCGGATCTTTAAACAGCTGATTTTTTGTAATTTCCCTTTTTTGAAAATCATATGAAAAATATTTTGAAAATAAAAAATATTGTGTAAAATTAACTGTCAAAAAAGTGACTTTTTAAATTTTGTAAGTGTCACTTTTTTTTAAAATTAAAAAACATATACAAAATAAATTTTATCAAAAAAATGATGTTTGTCACTCGAAAAAAGTAATATGAATTTTAAGAAAGCGAGAGAAAGAAGTAACACTAAAAGGTACAAATAATCAAAAAAATTGACAGACATTGAAAAAAGTTACAAAAATTCAAAACATTACAAAACATCAATTAAAATATTGAAATCAATTCAATAAAGTGACCAAAAAAATAAAACAATTATCGTCCCTCCCCTTTCTCCACTCACCGCCAAACACATTTAAGTTAGTTCGTCGATAAAACACCAATCAAAACGTCAAACATCTTTACGTCAATTTAATGTCTCCATCATCTACCAATACGGTCAACCCATTAATCATATAAAAAGTTTTTTTGGAAATAAAAATACTTTGTAAAGTTAAGTGTTATTTTTTTTTATTAAAAAGCGACATACAATGTAACTTTTATTAAATATAATATTTGTCACTTAAACTAGTGATAGAAATTTCAAAAAAGTGATAGAAATTCAAAAATACTCAAAAAAGTGAGGAACAAAATCAAACTTTTATAATAGATCTAGTGATAATTGATTTTTTTTTCTACATATTGTGTATTTGTGATTATGTCTCGCTTCTATTAACTAAAGATAAAACATAACTTCACTTAAAGAATACAGCATCCTATAAGGAAAATAACAGAAATTCAAAAAATGACAAACACTAAAAAATGTGAAAAACACTAATCAAAATTTTAAAATAGATCTAGTAGATAGTTTATTTTCTTTTATATGTTGTCACTTTGTGATTATGTTTCACTTCTATTAATTAAACATAATTTTATTTGAATAACACAATAAGTCCCTGTTTGGTACACATTATTTTTTTCATTCTCATTCTTCTACTCATTTTCAACCACACATTATTTAATAAAATAATATTTTCTATCACATCAATAACTTTTCCTTCATTTTTAATCACATATTTTTCATCAATCTACTATTTAATAACACATTCATTGAAAAGAATGTATTCCAAGCACACCCTAAACTATAAATTAGAAGTGACAAATTCAAAAAAATGACCCAAAAAAAAAAAAAATTAGAAAGTGAAAAACTAAAATTACTCAAATCTTGAAGTGAATTGAAAATATAAATTAAAAGGATTCATCATTCATCAAATACACAAAAAGCTTAGCCTATCATTGTCATATCAAAATTATACAAAAAGATATGAAAAGACGTCACCAAAAGCAAAGAAATCGACAAAGAACTTGAAAGTCAATTCCTTGCACTTCAATCTTCAACCCTAGCTTTGCATCTGTAAATCAGAGCAGCGTTCGACGTTGCTGTAATCATAGCCGCGTCGAACGCTGCTCTGTAAATTTTACAGAGCAGAGGTAAATTTTACAGAGCAGAGTTCGGCAGCGTTGAACGCTGCTGTGAGTAGCGTTCGACGCTGCGACAGTGAGGAGAGTGTAGGAGGGAGGAGGAGAAAGGGAAGAGGAGGAGAAGGGGGGAGGAGAAGGAGGAGGGAGGGAGGAGGCGGCGGGTAGAGAGAGAGAGAAAGGGGAAAGCTGATTGTGGGTTGTGGGTTAGGGTTGGGAAATATAAAAATAAGAATAAAAAAATGTTTTAAATTTATTAATTACAACCTGATTTTTGCAATAGCAAACTTGAATAAGGATTCATGAAAATGATAATTTAAAAGTAGGGCTGGGTGTAATTTCCTCTATTTTAAATAAGGCAACTTATGGAAATACCCTAAAATTAGGGGTTTTTTGAAAAACATATAAAAAATATTTTGACAGTAAAAAATATTGTGTAAAACTGTCAAAAAAGTGACTTTTTAAATTTTGTAAGTGTCACTTTTTTTTTAATTAAAAAACAGATACAATATCATTTTTATTAAAAAAAAAAAAAATTGATGTTTGTCACTTGAAAAGTAGTATAAATTTTAAGAAAGTGATCGAAAAAAGTAACACTAAAAAGTGCAAAAAATCAAAAAAAATGGACAAACACCGAAAAAAGTGACAAAAATTCAAAAAATGACAAAACATCAATTTAAATATTGAAATCAATTCAACAAAGTGACGAAAAAAATAACACAATTATCGTCCCTCCCCTTTCTCCGCTCACCGCCAAACTCCTTTAAGTTAGTTCGTCGATAAAACACCAATCAAAACGCCAAACATCTTTAAGTCAATTTAAGGTCACCATCATCTACCAACGCAGTCAACCCATTAATCATATAAAAAGTTTTTTGGAAATAAAAATACTTTGTAAAGTTAAGTGTTACTTTTTTATTAAAAAGTGACATACAAAATGTCACTTTTATTAAAAAATAATATTTGTCACTTAAAAGAGTGATAGAAATTCAAAAATAATCAAAAAAGTGAGGAACAAAATCAAATTTTTTTAATAAATCCAGTGAAATTTTTTTTTATTTTCTACATATTGTGTATTTGTGATTATGTCTCGCTTTGTTAACTAAAGATAAAGCATGACTTCATTTAAGGAATACATCATCCTATAAGTTGAAAATAACAGTTCAAAAAATGACAAACACTAAAAAATGTGAAAAACACTAATCAAAATTTTAAAATAGATCCATTAGATAGTTTATTTTCTTTGATATGTTGTCACTTTGTGATTATGCTTCACTTATATTAACTAAACATAATTTTATTTGAATAACACAATAAACTATAAGTGACAAATTCAAAAAAATGACCAAAAAAAAAAAAATTAAAAAGTGAAAAACTAAAATTACTCAAATCTTGAAGTGAATTGAAAATATAAATTAAAAGGATTCATCATTCATCAAATACACAAAAAGCTTAGCCTATCATTGTCATATTAAAATTATACAAAAAGATATGAATAGACGTCACCCAAAGTAAAGAAATCGATAAAGAACTTGAAACTCAATTCCTTGCATTTCAATCTTCAACCCTAGCTTTGCACTTTCAATTCTTGATGTAAATTCGCTTGTTTTCCTCTTGCTAGACTCAAACTATGATAATAGACATTCTGGACCAAGCTTAGGTTAGATATAGAGCAAAAAGATACCATTCCAATGCTTGCCAAACAAAGAAAAGGAAACAGAATTTTTCCTCCCAAGTTGAACTAGGCGAGCAACTAGATTTAAGAGAGGCGAGAGCCATTAAGGAGCCTTTTGGCTTCGGGCGGTCCAAGGCAAGGGTCAAGCGCGTGCTTGGCTTGTGGCTTGGGACCAATCTGCAGGGTCCTTGAAGTTTCCTCCCATGCAATTTTGGTCCTTTTCGATTATTTTCATCATGTTGTCTTCTATTTGTGTCCAATTGAGTCATAGCACTCTCGAATGTTCGTTCATCGGTTTAAACCAACTTTAGATTATTTGAAACTTTAGCTTTCTTTCAATTCAGTCCTCTTTTCGTTATCTTCTCCAATTCTGTCTTTTTCGTCTATCGTTTTCTGAAAAACACAATTGAAATCAAATTAAATCATTATTCATTAAAATAACCAACAAATACTATAATTTCAAAGCTTAAATAAATGTATAAAATAAACTTAACAAATATCCTCAAACTTGAATATTTGTTTGTTCTCACACAAATTATAGCATAACTCAACAAAACTTGGTTAGATAGTCTGCCGTACACTCAAGATTAGACTTTTGTATCAATACTATGAATAGCTTCGAAATCATACAATTGAAATTAGCTTTCACTTATTCAATGTGAAACTCCTCGTGTGTGTATGAAGACTTATGTAGAACATCATAAGTTCATAATTGGTTCAATTTCTGGCTCTCAATAGTCAAATTTTTTTTTGTTCACCCGTGAGATACACACCCCCTATGAAATAGAATATGCACGGCATAATTAAGAAATATAAGTACATGAAATAGAAAACGCATTACATACTTCAATTAAGCCCCCAAAACTTGGTGGGTTGAAGTAATAAAAAAATACAATAGAATTCTTATTTGTTGAAGTGTGAATTTACCAGGAAACATAGAGTTGTGAAATCTCAAAGCATACCAACACTTGTTAACTCTATATTAGGTACGCTGCAAATGTGGACAGTTGCGACAGACCTCCATAATAAATTGTAGGCAATATTTTAGATTTAAATACAAATTAATTTGAATAATGTTACCAACGGATTCTCAATTCAATTAATTTTTATTAATTTTCGTATTTTACTATCAATGGTTAGCACGTCACAAGTTTTGTTGCTAAAATTTTATATTTTTATTTTATTAAAAATTTATCAACGGATCAACGACTAAATTTCAATGACGGTTATATGTCTTTGCTAATTCCGTTGCTAAGACATTTACTTTATAATTATAAATTTTTGAAGAGAAATCGTTGCAAAATCGTTGATAATCCTTTACTAATATCAACAAATTGAGTTCGTTGGCAAAAATCCGTTACTAAAGCCTCCCTTTCTTGTAGTGGATGTAAAATAGTTTCCATTAAGTCCCAATCATCGTGACCAAATAATGCAACGCTTTGTGAGATCAGAAGAATTTGATTATTTTCTCCGGTTAACAACTTTTTCTATGACGTAATTATGTAAGCTTTAATGAAAATTACGATAACAAAACTAGTTAACATATTTATCACCTGTTTGGTGGTGATTAAAATTCAATTTTTAGTATATTTTGATAAAAGTTGATGAAATATATTGTTGAAATTTTGCGAATTTCATAAAATGTGTGAATAAAATTAATTATTAATTTTAAATTAGATCCAACTCGAGATTTTAATCCCTATAAAAAGGGTGTTTCTTGAAATCTGAATTTAAAAATTAAAAAATAACCAAAACAAAACAAAAATTTGCAAACACCAGTAGAATACTTTTTTCTTAATAACGACTTCATCTAAAGTACCCCAAAATCCATTGACGGAAAATCCAAATTATGTAACAAATTACATAATTGTGCAGCCTGTTGTGCTTTCTTCACTGAAGTAATCGCACCTCTTCGTAACACAGCAAGGCGGCCTGCCATATACATATCCACGTCCACATGCATAATTCCCGACGCAGCACGGCTGTGGCGGCGGCGGCGGAAGGCCACAACCATGGTAGCACGGCCCACAGCAAGGATTGACTGGATGATGCGGCGGGAGTCCTACTGGCGGCCCGGGTGCGGGGTAAGTCGGTGGTTTGGGCTTAGGGGCAGCCAGTGGTGGTGCATTTTCCTTGCATTTTGATTTGGTTTTCTTTGGCTCTTTAGGCTTCCCGGGCTCTTCGGGTTTCGGCTTTGGAGGCTCTTTGATTTTAATGCACTTAATAATCTTGCCACCCTTGCAACACAATTTGTCACGAATCTTCTCGGGATTACAACATATTACAGTGATTGTCACTGTATTTGCCTTTTCATCGAAAACCCTGTCGCTAATTTCTCTTGTCCCAAAATTTTCACAAAAGAAAAATAGAAAGCTCAGCATAATCCAAAATATTTGTTATTGCTCAACAGCAAAAATAAAAGAAGAAGGCTCACGAGGAATTTTGCAGAGAATTTTCTGGATCTTCTTGTAGCAGCAGGGACATTGGAGATCAACTTTCAGCACCATTACAGTTTTCTATTACATCAAATGAAAGTAAAGTAAAATCAGACAAGAAACCTGATCAAATAAAAACTAACAGAAATTAGTGGGATGTGATCAAACTTGTTACCTTCTCAAGCTCAGCCATGTTTGGTAGTGAAGAGTGATAGTTCTAGAATCAGAAAAACAAAGTTAGTCGATTATGATAACAAAGTTGAGACAGAGAGTACGATCCTATAACGTTGATATATATATAAGAGAAATGATAAGTGTACACTCTTGGTGTACACACACTTTACACTCCTCTCACATAGTGGGTCCAGCGATTATTTTATTTAGGAACCCACCCATGTTGTGAGAGGAGTGTCAACAATATTGTACACCAGAGTGTATATGTAGCATCTCTATATATAAACCTAAGAAGGAGAAAGTGGAGGGGTGGGGTGATATTGCTGATTCTGTGCTCTATTTTAGGGCTGGACATGATCCGATTGGTTCTCTTCAAAACCCAACCGATTCAAAATTTTCGAGTATTTAATAAATGGAACCGTCGGGCCCACATATAACGGGTTCGATTCTGTTCGATTCCGTACCATAATTAAACTTTTTAACATTTACAACAACACTACATAAATATAACTAATAATATGTTCATTCGTAACTATTACAAATTAACATAGCTCAATTTAAAAATATATAAATAATCCCCCTCGGGGAGAGGCCACGAGTGACTAAGGGGGTGGTACGTGTGCAGGAAGAGCTTACTTGAAGACCTATCCTGTTGGCCACGTGTTCGAGCCATTTTTCGAGGTCAACAGAGAGTACGATCCTATAACGTTGATATATATATAAGAGAAATGATAAGTGTACACTCTTGGTGTACACTCACTTTACACTCCTCTCACATAGTGGGTCCAGCGATTATTTTATTTATGGCGGGACCCACCCATGTTGTGAGAGGAGTGTCAACAATATTGTACACCAGAGTGTATATGTAGCATCTCTATATATAAACCTAAGAAGGAGAAAGTGGAGGGGTGGGGTGATATTGCTGATTCTGTACTCTATTTTAGGGCTGGACATGATCCGATTGGTTCTCTTCAGAACCCAACCAATTCAAAATTTTCGAGTATTTAATAAATGGAACCGTCGGGTCCACATATAACGGGTTCGGTTCTGTTCGATTCCGTACCATAATTAAACTTTTTAACATTTACAATAATACTACATAAATATAACTAATAATATATTCATTCGTAACTATTACAAATTAATGTAGCTCAATTTAAAAACATATAAATAAAAAGCTGTCCAATAAGATTAATTCAATATATACAATTACCAAAAAGTAGAAAATTATTTAAATTTGCTAATTTGTTTAGAAAAAATTAAAATTAATTAATTTAATATAAAAAAATTTAAAAATTATTTAGATTCGGCTCTTATTCGATTTTTCGGTTCTTGACCTAGAATCGAACCAAACTCATCAGTTCTCGATTTAAATACTCGTTCGGACATTTAATTTATGAAGAACCGTTCAATTGGATTCGGTTCGGAACTTTTGTCATGCCCTACTTTGTTTGCATTTGTTTGCATTGATATACACTGCCCAGTCACCTTTCTAAGCCCATATTTGTTTACCATTCTAAAAAAAAATCATTTTTTTACCTAAAACTCTTTTTTAACCACGAATTCTCACAACAGAGTATTTTGCACGTAAATTCAAAAGTTTTTCCTACTTTTTAACCACACATTTTATCAAAAATCATTATTTCAAAACTCATTTTTTTTTTCTAAAAACTCTTTTTAATGGGCATCGAACTGCCAGTAAATTTTTGCAGTTTTATCATACACGAGCAAATGGATTAAAATTTGATGTAAGTTTCTTTAAGAGTTTAATAATCCCCTCATTAAGAAATTTGAATATCCAAGTAAGGAAGTTTCTATGTATTTTTCAACAGAGAACAATGGCTTTAAAAGATTTTTTTTATTTCATAAAATTTTAATTTTTTTTTTCTAATTTAATATCGACTAGGCCTAAAATCAAAGTATGTATGTATGTATCAATAAATTTAGATAAAATACCAATAAAATAGAAATGTAATAACATCTGCACTCTTTTGCACACTCTTTCTTTTAATTATAATTTTAATATTATCTGGAAAAGTCATTTCCTCAAATGTTAGAAATTGACCCTAAATTACTTGTTTGAAAATTATTGATGCAAATAGCACAAAATAGAAATGGAATGCTATTCGAACTCGTTCGTATGCTTTTGTTTTTATTACGCTTTGTATATTGTTAGGAAAAATTCTCGATAGAAACTTCACTTTGAAGTAAAATTATTAGAGACGGACTAAATTATTTGTTCGGAAATTGTTGATAATGACATTCCACGTTACCGGTTTTTATACTTTCGTTTTTATTACGCTTTTTTCATCGTTTGGAAAAACTCTCGATCGAAACTTGACTTTGAAGTAAAATTATTAGAGATGGTCTAAATTATTGTTGGAAAATTGTTGATAATGACATTCCACGTTATGGGCATATGTAGAAATTCTGTCACTTTATATCAAAATGGCTGTCTTTTTTATTAATATAAATCTACCAAAAATATTTCTATATTGTTTCTATTTAGTGCTGTTTATGTCTATTGTCCTTTATAATTATGGGCCTGCCCATACCTTTAACTACCCAAATTGAGAGAGACTTATTTAAAATAAGGCAACTTACAAAAATACCCCTAAAATTTGAAATTTTTTAAAAAATTATATGAAAAGTATTTTGAAAGAAAAAGCACTGTGTAAAATTAAGTGTCAAAAAAGTGACATTGTGTTACTTTTTAAATTTTGTAGCTGACATTTTTTTAATTAAAAAATACATACAGTGTCATTTTTATTAAAAAAGAATTGATATTCGTCACTCGAAAAAGTAACTTCATTTAAAAATGATATTTTATGTCTCACTTCTATTAACTAAAGATAAAACATAACTTCATTTAAGAAATACAACATCCTATAAGTTGAAAATAATATAAACAAAAATTGACGAACACTAAAAAAATGTGAAAAACACTAATCAAAATAGATCCAATAGATAGTTTATTTTCTTTTATACGTTGTCACTTTGTGATTATATTTCACTAATATTAACTGAACATAACTTTATTTTAATAACACATTAACCTATGAATTAGGAGTGACAAATTCAAAAAAGTGACAATTTAAAAAAAATGAATTTTTTTTTTTTAAATAGACTTCTTCTTTGGAACAATGCTTGGTGTATAATCATTTTGACAACATTGTTGACAACATATCACGTACTATGTTGTCATTGGGCAGTTAAAAAAATATTTCATCTTTTCAACCAACATTGTCAATATTTCTGTACAAATAGATTAAATATCTCTTCTTTGTTAGATTATTCTTCAAAAGAGCACGCAATACATGTGTTGTGTTCGAAACTCATCGAGGACAACCTTATTTGCGACATCAACATGTTGGTCATTACAACAGAGTCCTTTACGTTGCGTGAAACCTTATCTCTTGAACATTTCCCATGCTTTCAAAATAAGCTCTTGGTTACTCAATTGGGAATCTGATTTTGCAATTATTGTCTGAATTGTATTGTATTGCTAAAAGCACAATAAGCTTCGCTGGCATTCCCAATTGGTCAGAACATACAATTTGCATTCAAAATCAATTGAAATATGATTCAACCATTTCGCGAGCACATTTCCATACCTAACATGGGCACCAATCACAACACTACTTTTAGCAGAATACAGGAAAGTATGAAAAGGCATTAGGAAAAGATACAGTATTTTATATTTTGCACTCACTTTTCACAAGATTTTTCAAAAAATCTTATATTTAGGGCATATAGTCTAATTTCTTCTTTATAATATACGTAAGCCCAAATTTATTAGATTAGTTCATGCATGCCCTACATAAATATTTGGGGAAAAAAATTGATCCTTAATTTTAATAAAGGGTTAATTTCACAAACGGTCACTGAACTTACCTAAATTACAAAACGGTCACTGAAATTTAAAACTTGCAGCAACAGTCACTGAAATTTCAGGCGCTTTCACAAACGGTCACTGAACTTATTATTAGGAATGTTATGATGTTAATTCAAGCTTAAAGGACAAAAACACGTGGACATAGAAGATTGAGGACCTCAAGCACAAATTTGTTGCTATTAAGGCCCAAACAAAAAAAAAAAATTCACAATTCACAATCTGAAGTTTCAGGCGCTTTGAGAGAAAACCATGCCCTAATTTTCCAATAAATTGGATTTGGGCCTTAATAGCAAATTGAGGTCTCAAGCTTCTATATCCACGTGTTTTTGTCCTTTAAGTTTGAATTAACATTATAACAGTCCTAATATTAAGTTCAGTGATCATTTGTGAAAGCGCCTGAAACCTCAGTGACCGTTTCTGCAAGTTTTAAACTTCAGTGATCGTTTTATAATTTTTAGGTAAGTTCAGTGACCGCTTGTGAAATTAACCCTTTTCATAAATTTAGTAAAAATCTTGCCTTTTTTCAATACACATGGTACAAAGGGGCCATCTGTTCTGTAATATAGCCCAATGATTGGTTTGACTCGATTATGATCTTAACGCTTTTCTTGCGTTTTTAAAATGTGATTTTGCTGTTGCGATGAATGTCTTTGAGATGAAGACATGTGATGTGTTTGTAACGGTTGATTAAAGGGGTTTTTGGTGGAATTTACTGTGTGTTCTGATGAGAGAGGATATGGAGGTGTAATCATTTTTTTCTATCTTCTCTATGAAGTCTTCTGCTTTTTTTCTTCTTTTGATGAGATCTCTCTATCAAGAGTCTCTGAAGTCTTCTGCTTTTTTTTTTTTTTTTTCTTTTTTTCCCTTCTCTTGATGAAATATTTCTATTGAGAGACCAGTAGATATGATTTCTATTGTTCTTGGTGAATAGTTTCTTGGTGTAATTAGGGCTCGAAAAAAAAAACTCTCGAATCGAATCGAGCACTTTGAAGTGAAATTCCCAATGGTTTTTGGTTATATTTCGTCGGAGGTAGAGTTGGGAGTTCTTCTTAAATTAAATATCCGAACAGATATCTGAACCGAGAATTGAACCCGATTCTCGGTTCTAGATGAAGAATCGAATAAAAATCGAATAACCCTAATTTTCTATCTTAAATAAGCCAAATTATTTTTTTAAAAAAATAAATTTGCTAACTAATTAATTTAACTCAAACCCAAAATATGATTTTTTTTTTTTTTTTTTAATTTCCAGCCCAAGTCCAATTAATCAAATTGACCTAAATCTTACACAAATCTCTTATTCTACCGTAATGTCGTTTCTGTATGGAGAAATCGAATTAGAAGTCTCTCTTTATTATTGTGAGTCCGATATCTTCCTCTTCCTGTGATTTTAACTGTCAAAATTATAGAAAACTCGACAAAGTGAGGCGTAAAAGATATTACGATATTGGACTACGTTATTTTGTAAGAGCTAAAATTGAACATATCATTAGCTGAATTAATATAGCGATGTTGTAAATATAAAAAAATTTAATTATTGTGCGGAACTTGATAACCAAGTTCTATAATTAAATTTGGACCCGACGATTCTATTTACTAAATACCAAAATTTCAGGTTCGATTCGATTCGGTTCTCCTTATGAACATTTTTTCTTTGTCACAATTTATACTCATAATTGAATTCTTAAAAATGCATCAATTCAAATTGAAAAAAAAAAAAAAAAAAAAATACCATCGATTATGACAAGATTTTATCTGTAAGAATAGCTTATACTATCATAAAGAGCCAAAGAAGCTGAAAACAAATCGTTTGGTGATGTAAACCATGAAAAGAGCATGCGATAAATATAGAATAAATCTCTTATAATCTTCTAAACTAATTAACATAATAGGTCATATGTCCCTTTTCTAAGTTCATATGTCACTTTTCATCATCATAATCAAAATTAACTAACATTTGGTCACACACGCAATATTTTGATTAACTAGTTATTGTAAATTTTGACATTAAAAGTCCCAATCATTGTGACCAAATTACACCATTGTTTAAGTAATCAAGAATAGTTAAAACTTTAGAAAATTAAAGTTTTTTTTTTTTCCGACGTGTTTCTATAAATTTTTTTTTTTTTTTTATCGCGGGTATTTTTCTAAACAGTCGAGAAGCCAAAACTCTTTAGCGAAATTTTTATATTCTTGCAAAAAAATATAAAACTTGTAAAATAGTTATGGTTAAGCGAGCATGCATTTTTTAGTTCAACTAGTACATTGTGGGGACCCTTTTTGTCGACAATAAGAACAAGTTGAAGATGAATGCATTATGAGATCAAACTAGCTTTGATTATATTCTCAATCTCTATCACAATTTATACTCTTAATTCCATTTTTTGAAAAGACATCCATTCAAAGGACAGAAACTTGTTAATCGTAATTGAATTCTTGAAAATTCAGCAATGAAAAAGAACAAATGGGTTATTTTCGAAAAGGATAGCAAGGCGGAGACACCGACTAGCCTATGACAAGGCATGCAACATAAATTTTCTTTACTCTTTAATCAATAATTATTGATCTCCTACAAATATGCATTACCGAGCACGTACACTCGAGGAGGAATGTTGCCCACTCCAGCTATGTTTGCCTAATCTCCTCGGGCTAGGTACCTCGGGTACGTATCTCCTCAGGCACATGATGGAACACCTCCCACCACGTAGATCTCGTATGGCTATCTCCTCGGGAAATAACATTTCCAGTTAACTTGAGATCTCCTCAATGTTATGTCTTAACCTCGCGCCTAACAACCCCTGATCCATTAGGATTCTCCAATAAGATAGAGCTTATCCGGTTCCAAGGATGTCAAGTCCTGTTGTTTCTATTCCACGCAAATAGGACTCTTATCACGGGAATTATATCTTTATTCCAACGCATCAATGGAAAAATACCCATCAAGTTGCAACTTCAAATTATGGTAGGACTTTTAGGGATTTGAGTAACTTAAATATACCAGAAATGTTCCACCTACATCTATGAATACAACACCACAATTAATTATCTAGATACACTTTTTACATAATTTTTAACATATATCTTTTCACACAAATTCTCTCTGTAACTCAAGTATCGGAGTGGCGACGAAGAAACATCTCGACGCCTTTATTTCAGATACTGAAAGATTCTGTTCATGCTCATTTTCAATCCTCAAGTTTGGAAATCACCACGTACGATTTTTTGTAGCATCAATTATAATATTACAAAACAAAAATTTGCAAAAGCCAATGAGTAGTATGACTTTTTATTAATAACAACTTATTTTATTTTCATCTATTCAGAGACAAAATTATTCATTTTTCCCCCCTCAATCATATAACTATCATTGTAGCAACATTTCCAAAATTCATTAACAAACAGGAAATTACATAATCGTGCAGCCTGTAGTGTTTTCTTCGCTGAAGTAATCGCACCTCGTGACATAACAAGGCCTTCCACAAGTATATCCAGGTCCACATGGATAATTCCAGTCGTAGCACGGCTGTGGCTGTGGCGGTGGCGGTGGCGGTGGCTGCGGATGCGGATGCGGATGCGGATGCGGAGGCAGCGGACACCCACAACAATGGTAGCACGGCCCTCCTCTACGACCTTCATAGCACGGACAACAGCAAACGGGCTTCGGCGGCTCCTTGGGCTTCTCGGGCTGTTTTGGCTTCTCCGGCTCCTTGGGCTTCTCGGGCTGTTTTGGCTTCTCGGGTTCCTTGGGCTTCTCGGGCTGTTTGGGCTTCTCGGGTTCCTTGGGCTTCTCGGGTTCCTTGGGCTTCACCGGAGGTTTCGGCTTTGGAGGCTGTAGGATTTCAATGCACTTAATAATCTTGCCACCCTTGCAATACAATTTGTCACGAATCTTCTCAGGATCACAGCATATTACAGTGATTGTCACTGTATTTGCCTTTTCATCGAAAACCCTATCGCTAATTTCTCTTGTCCCAAAATTTTGACATCACCAAAAATAGAAAGCTCAGCATAATCCAAAATATTTCTTATTGCTCAAAAGCAAAAATAAAAAAAGGGGTTTTAAAAGAAGAAAGCTCACGAGGAATTCTGCAGAGAATTTTCTGGATCTTCTTGTAGCAGCAGGGACATTGGAGATCAACTTTCAGCACCATGTAAGTTTTCTATCACATCACATCAAATGAAATTGAAGCAAAATCGAACAAGAAATCCAAAATCAAACAAAAATGAATAGAAATTAGTGGGGAGTGATCAAAATTGATACCTTAAGCTCCATGGTTGATCGTGAGGAGTGATGGCTCTAGAATCAGAGAGAAAATGAGAAAGAAGAAAAGAAAAAGGTTAGTTGATCAAAGTTAAGGAGGAAAAGGTACCATCCTATAATCTTTATATATATAAAGTTAGGAAGGAGGAAAGTGGGAGGTTTATGATATTGAATTTTAATGAAAATGATCAAGAGTTTCCTGCCCTATCTGTAGGGTGTGGTGGTTATATATTGCTGACTCTTTACTCAGTGTTTTGCATGTGATGATGACATTGATAGGCACAACCCACCTTCCCAAGTTTTTTATTCATACACAAGCAAATGGACTTGGATTTCCATTGTGCATGATTGAATTACCCTAATATTAAACATGAAGGTTCTGGAGGAAATGTGCATATGATCAAGGGAGATGAACACAGAGGTAATAAAATGGACTTTCCATATTTCAAGACAAGGGCAAAAGTGAAAATGTTAAAATACGGTTTTCGGGAGTTTTATGCGCATTAATTGAAAAAGTAATGTTATTCATAGTCACCAACTGTAATAATCATCCTTACGTGACGTGACATCTTATATTTGAGGCATTAACTTGAAAGCGTAATTTAGCTGAAGAGTTAATCTAGTGATTATATTTTTTCTCGGAATTGTATAATTTTGGTTGAGAATCAAAACAAGTTATTCTTAAAGGTTTCAATTTTTTTTTTTTTTTTATTTATAAGTAGATATGTTTCCGACTTAGTTTTCGATTTTTTTCTAATTTAATTAGACGTTATGTTATGATAAAACGGCGTATTATCAAACTTCAAATGTTATTCGTTGGGTTAAAGTAGTGGTCACTTAAATTTTTTTAGTGTAATTCTACTTTGGTCTTCAAACTTCATTTTATTTCATGTCGATAGCTTATTCATATTCTTTATTTTTTCTTGACCAACAAAAAATTTAAAACAAAGTGACTAATTTTTTTAAAAAAAATTACAAAATCATCTGTTTGTAAGAGTTTTTTTTTTTTTTTTAAATTTGTGGTTGAAAATGAAGGAAAATTTTTCGATTTACGTGTTATATTATTTTATGGAAGATTATATGGTTAAAAATAAAATGGAGAAGAAAAAATGAGAATGAGAAAGGCGACCAAACGGGGAACTTTTGGTTGATGAATTATGATTATGGGCATACATTTAGTAAGAAAAAAAAGGACAACGCTTTCGCTTTCAAATACAAAGTTTTCCACGATAAATATTTATTGGACCTAACGAATTGTCTCTTGACACCCATAAATCATATAGTTTTATAAAGTCCCTTTTAAGTGGCAAATAGGATAGGATGGACATTTTTTCTTGAAATCGAATGGAATCAGAGTTGAATCGAATGGTTATTATCAAACTTCAAATGTTATTCGTTGGGTTAAAGTAGTGGTCACTTAAATTTTTTTAGTGTAATTCTACTTTGGTCTTCAAACTTCATTTTATTTCATGTCGATAGCTTATTCATATTCTTTATTTTTTATTGACCAACAAAAAATTTAAAACAAAGTGACTAATTTTTTTTAAAAAAATTACAAAATCATCTGTTTGTAAGAGTTTTTTTTTTTTTTTTTAATTTGTGGTTGAAAAGGAAGGAAAATTTTTCGATTTACGTGTTATATTATTTTATGGAAGATTATGTGGTTAAAAATAAAATGGAGAAGAAAAAATGAGAATGAGAAAGGCGACCAAACGGGGAAAATTTTGGTTGATGAATTATGATTATGGGCATACATTTAGTAAGAAAAAAAAGGACAACGCTTTCACTTTCAAATACAAAGTTTTCCACGATAAATATTTATTGGACCTAACGAATTGTCTCTTGACACCCATAAATCATATAGTTTTATAAAGTCCCTTTTAAGTGGCAAATAGGATAGGGTGGACAATTTTTCTTGAAATCGATGGAATCAGAGTTGAATCGAATGGATACAGTCGATTTGATTCCTATTCATACTAAGTCGTGTTTAACAATCATTAAAATAAAATCCTTTTTTTTTTTCAAATTCATTTTCAACAAAAACATTCTCACAATAAAATATTTTGTACGTAAATTCAAAAAAAGTTCTCACTTTTTAACTACGCGTTCTTCAAAAAATCACTATTCAAAAACTCTTTTTTTCCCTTCCAAAAAACTCATTTTAGTGGTTGTCAAACAGGGGCTAAATGGGTCGATTTTGAGATCGAGTATCAAGAATTTGTCGGTTTCAGTCCGATTATCCATACTGTCTTGGAAATTAAAAGTGGATTTGATTTTTTCGAATTTCTCTTTTTGTTGATGCATTGCATCAAGATGCACATATCAAAATGCACCAATTTGGACCAATATTTTATGATTTATGTTGTGTTTAAAAGTTTATCATTTTTTTCACTTTTACCACTTGATTTTGAGCTTTGGAATGAATCTTTGTTCGTTATATTGTCTAATTGATTTTTTTTTATTGTTTTATTACTGAAATGACTGTGATTTCATAATTTATTTTTGTCAATTTTCAATTTGATAATTAATTTTATACTTTATTTTTATAATTTTTCATTATAAAAAATTGAATCGAACATGACCGAATCGGAACTGATTGGTTCCGTTCCAATTCGATTCTATAGTTGAATATAATCAATTATTTTATTTTAAGATTTCCATTGGTATTCGATTCGATTCAATTCCCTTTGAAATCGAATCGAAATGGACTTTGCCCACTCCTAGGCCTTGGTATCCGAGGGGGAAATTCATCTAAATTATGTTTAATATCATTACCAAAAAAAAACCTCACATTGGTCGGTAAAAGCAAATTTTTTGGCCGTTGAAGGCCTCTAGCGTCGATGAACCTCTTTAGCGACCATTATTTAGTCGGTAAAAGTCTTGTTTTTTGGTGGATGATAATCCTAACAAATTGGTTGATTTGCATACTATTACGACTAACGTTTGGTAACCAAAACCTATTACAATTTTTCATCAAACGATATTTGGTCAATAAAAGTACTCCATCAACGACCAAATATTGATCTCTAACGAATAGTCGGTAAAAAAATAATATCTATCCCAGACCAATAGTTCAGTGCACTCTAGTTACTAAAGATAAAAATCAACGGCCAAACGTTAGTAGTTAAATGGTCAACTATTTGTTTTTGACTTCTAGCAACCAAGATCTGGCCCTTGTCTGGTCCCAATTATTTGCGAAAATACATTTTTCTCTCTCTTATTTTTAACTACACATTTTTCAATAAATTAATATTACACGTAAACTCAAAAAATTTCCTTATTTTTTAACTACATATTCGTCATCAAAATACTATTTCGGAACGCATTTTGAACAACAAATGAGACTCAAACAAGTTTCTGATTTGATTGCTAGTATTTTGACGAGAGTAGTGCTACATATATAGGAATTCAAATTCATGTACCTGCCAGACACACACACAGCAAGGGTGGGTGAGTGGGGTTTTTGTCAATATTTTAATTCACGTGGGACCACCATATGAGAGTGAAATTTGATTTTGTTTAAATTCTATTAAAAATATCCTATACCCACAGCTTTTTTGTTTTGACTAATGGTATTTAATTGGACTTTTAGAGCCTTATTAATTTTTGTAATTAATAAATATAATAAAGAATGCACAAGAAAAATAAAAAAAGAAATTAACAAGAAACATAAAATAATAATAATAATAATAACTACAAAAGGATTATTGACATTGCATACATAACAATTCTAATAAAAGGATAATTGTCATTGCTACAAAAACATAACGGAGAAATCAATTTGTACAGAATAAAATCCAACAGAAATGCAACAGAATAGAGATAAACAATGGGTCCCACATGTATTTAAAAAAGAAAAAATGTGCGGGCCCCACCCTTGTGTGAGTATTCTGTTGCAATTCTGTGAGATTTTTTTCTGGTAATGCAGCACTTCTCATCTGTCTTTGAATTAGTTCAACTCTCACAGTCGTTCTTCTTCCTTTATCCGAAATTCCATAGCTTCTCTTCTCCGAAACTCTTCTACCCTTCTGCAGTTCGCTTCAAGCGTCTTAATAATTATTAGCAAATCAATAATTAGATACACTGGAAGATCATAAGTACACGATTCAACTAACGTAATTGCTCATAGATTTTCAAGAGTTGAACATTCAAAAGCATTCGAAAAAAATTCGGAGAAATTTATATAAAAGTTAATGTCACCTGAAAAACTCGAACTTGTCACATGTACCCAGAAAAGGGGTCTCAGAGTTCTACTTCGACTCGTTTGGTTAACTACTGATAAGTGAAGAAAATAAAATTAACCACTACGTCAACAAAAAACAACAACAATGGAAAATCCGAGAAAATTCTTTCCTTTATTTGGCTCTTCATCAAGCATAGACGTTTGTTTGATGACATTGAGCCCTCTATAGCACCAATTTGGAAGTCACAAATGTCAAATTGGGTAATATGAGATTTAATACCTGCTCCACTTTTATCACCCAAGACACCAAAATCCACTTTTTTGATTTATTTCAACTATTCCATGATCGGAATAGGGAAGGATACACTTTACACTTCGATTTTAAATCAGAAGAGAGATTTCAAGAAATGACAGATCTATTCACTCTATCAATAATCAAGCTGAATTCGGTGTATCATTAGGGATTTTTCGTTGAAGTGCGGTAGACAATTTCGTGATAAGTCCTCACCACCTCTGCTCTATGCGAATAAAAGAATCAGAAAACCATGGGACAACCTCCTTGAGATAGGTGGGGAAATCGGGAAGCGGTAGTTTCACAAAGATAGAATTTTTAGCAATCAAAATGGAAAGTTACTCTCAAATAACAAATTCCTTTCTTCTCCGACCTTAGAATTTTTAGTAATCAAAAGAATCTAAAAATAAACTATTGGGGTAATAATTCATGCAAAGTACAAATATTTTGATTTCTCGCAAGTGAATGGGATCGTGATCGAGTAATATAGTAATGGGTAAAGTGTCGAACTCGCGAGAATTACGTGTTTTATCAAGTTAAAGTTAATAATACCCTTAATCGAATAGCAATAATGACTTGTAATAAATTTATGTCTAATTTATCACATATTAGAAATCAAAGTAAAAGTTTATCAAATTTTTGAGATGTATTGTTAAGACTAGGTGCAAGCAACGTGCAATGCACGTTTGCCTAATTTATATTTAATAGTTTTGTTTAAAAACTAATTTGTTATTAATAAAGATGTAATTTTTTTGGTTAATTAAATAATTAATGATGTAATGTTTATGTGATTGATAAATAATTAGATGTGTGATTTTGATGTTGTGATGTAAGTTGGTGAGATCGAATAAAATAAACAAAAGTTGACAAATTTGGAGAAATGACTAAATTGTAAGGGATCCAAAGTTCGGGGACTAAAATATAAATACTTAAAAGTTGTGCCGAACCTCACGATGAATATTTGAGAGTGCTCATAGTCAATTGGATAAAGGAAGACTGTCAATGGAATCAGATTTAGTCAAAAGATGATCACAAATCAATTTTCAACTGAAAAGTTATGCTCCGATGTTTTAGTCTCATATTGAGACCTATTTTTGG